CTTAGTCTCTCTGACTTTTCTGAGAGATATTATTTTCCTTTCCAGTACCAATTTCAACAGTGATGGTCTAAAAGGTTCTGGTGCCCCAAGCGAGACTAGATTATAGGACTCCATATGGGGTCAAAGATAGGAGGGTTCTTACAGATTTTTACCAACAAAATAAAAGCGGCGGGGTTTCAGTTCACTTCAAAGTAAAGATACCAATACAAGCAAATTCTCTTCTTGTCATATTGATAAAGAAGCAGAAAGATCCCTCTGTCAAGCCAGTGGGAGCGTTCACAGCTAGAGCAGGGGAATTCAACTATAAAACAGAGTGTTTTGTGAAATTCTTTATGTATATATATACTTGCACACATTTGTCCGTATAGACACACAGACACACACGGAGACACACTCCTGAAGATAAGAAAGATTTTCATGTATTCAGCAATGCATATCTTGCCTTTTAGTGAGCTTTTCTTTAGTGATCTTTTCTAAGGATCTGTAGGTCTTTAGGAGATTTACTATGACCACCAGCGGCTTCTTGAAGCATTCAACATCAACCTCGTGTTTCTTACCTGCTAAAACACAAGAATTAAATGATTCTAAAGTGAGATTAGAAGCAATGAGAAATACACTGTCTCCTGCCCTTTCTTTGTTCTGGAAAGAATCGTGCTTTCTGGGAGTCTGAGTCATGTTCAGGGAAGGGACCTGTAAGCAAAGGTGCAGCTCATTGATTTCTTGTTACTTTAAGACCTATTGTCTCAATAAACACAAGTAACTTCTTATGATTTGAGTGTGAGACATGACTCTCATTGGACAATGACAATCTTAAAACAGAGAGTAATTAGTGCTTTTCAGGATGGTGGAGAAACGTCACGGAATATTTATATTTATTTCTCTATTTTGAGTTCTATGAATGAAGAAATTTTCCTTCCCACTCAAATGAATACTTCTCTATTCCCTGACCAGTAGAGTCCACACTAATTCACAGAAGGCTTGCTTTAGTTAGAAAACATTATTTTACTTCTTGGGATCAAAAGGAAACGATGTTCAGTGCTACAACCAGAGGCAACTTCTGTGTGCTCTGAGCTGGCGGAGCCCACACTCTGCACTGCAGTCAGACAGATCTTGCGTGGAGTTCTGGTCACTTGACATTTCTAAAGCTCAAAGTCCTTATATTAAAAAATAGGACAATAATAGAATCAATTTCATGGGGCTTTTAGAAGTAGGGAAGTGATGCTTACAAAATGTTTAACCCAAGACTTGGAATATACCAAGAATTTATTAAATACGAAATACTGAAGCATCTTTACAAACCAACCTTCCTGCCCCCTCCCAGTCACTCTCAGGTGTCCAGGCTGCTGTTTGTACATCTTTGTTATGCTCTTAACACCACTCATCACGGTTTTGTCCTGTTGGTCTGTTCACGCTACTGTGACAAAGAGTGAGTAATTTATAATTTATAAAGAATAGAAATTTCTTCTTCACATTTGTGGAGGGAGGAAGTCCTAGATCATGGTGTCAGCAGGTTTGGTGTCTGGTAAGAGTATTGTCTTCTCTGCATCCAAGATGGTACCTTGTTACTGCATCCTCAGAAAGAATGAAACACTCTATGCTCCCACAGAAGAAGGGGTGGAAGGATGTAGAGGGTCTAAACACTTTCTTTCAGCCCCTTTACTGGCACTAACGTACTCATGAATCCTGAGCCTTCATGATTTAATCAATTTACCCCCCAAACCCTCCTTAACATATTACCATGGGGCTTTAAATTTCAACAACTGAATTTTGGGGGGACATTCTGACCATAGCATCTCCCTATGTGGCTTATGTAAAAGTCAGAAATGAGTGACTATAATTAATTGATTAGACTAATCAGCATCTTTTTACTAAGCAGGGTCTTTTTCAGATCATCTGTTATGTACGGGTAGAAAAATAATATGAAAAACACTTTAAGTACAACATACTGTATTCCAGGGCCATTGTGGAATGTCAGTGACTTATTATTAATACTTCCATAGCCTCCTGTATAAGCATAGTCTTGCATATTGAGGACTCAGCTTAGAGTTATGGTCTGAATTCTCACATTATTTTAAAGACAGGCTGAAAATATCTTGTTTTTATAGTTTCATGTCAGATTTTGGTGATGATCGGAAGGCTCTTTTTAGAGCCTCAGAAGGTCCAACACAAGCTAGGGAGATCAACGCTTTTACAGTCTGCCGAGTCTCTCTTTAGAACTAGTTCCAGCCTTACACTTGAGAGGGAAACAATGCCAGACTCAACTTCCTAATCCTACGTATTTCTAATTACTTGCAGAATTCTTTCTACTCCAAAAGGCCCCAAGCACCCAATAAACAGCAGCAATCCAAACTAGCTTTTAATTTTTTGGAAGTCGTGTCAGTAGAGCTCTTGTTATGTCATGTGAAATGTTACCCAGCTGTTTGCCAGAGATGGTTAAAGACTGTATCCTACTTTTTGGGTGGTTGATACCTCAGGCAAAATTTCGAAAAGAAACATGAAAGTTCTTGTACTACTCAAGGTTAATTACCTGTGTGATGAAGCTTAAGTATTCCGCTCATATACAGTACTGATCTGTTCTTCTCTCCTTGTCTAGATGGGTATAATTTGAACTGAAACTGTGGCATTGTTGGCTGAGTTTTGGACACAGATTTCTATACATGCATATAGATGAATGTAATTTTGGTTTATTTTAAAAATATACTTTTATACAACATAAAAGCTAAGAAATAGACCAAGAGTCGGAGAAATTTCACATAGGGAAGAAAATCCATGACATCTTCATATTAGTCAGGATAATTTTCATTTCTCTGAAAGTAAATAATCTAAACCTTCATTTCCTTAATGTGCTTAATGTCTTTATATAATAGATTCTAGAAAACTATAGGGAAAAATAGTAATCACTCTAATTGCCATTAAGTAGTCTTAGTTTTTTGGTTTTTGTTTTTTGTTTTTTCCACTACTGGAAAACTCATGACTTTGCACTTGCCAGGCAGGTGCTGTGCCGCTGAGCTAAATCCCCAGCCCTAAGTAGTCTTAGTTTTCATGTGAGATATGTATTGATTTTGGGGTGGCATTTAATGTTTTAAAGTTGAGATAGCTACATTTCAGTTTGAGTATTGGATCAGGAGTTAAGAAATAGCTGCATGTCTGTACAATCAATCTAAGATAATTTGTCATGTTGCAGAATAATTATGAAACTAACAGATATTTCTATAAAACAGATAGATTATGTCCTCCTATAGAAAATTATATGAGTCATCTATGGAGAAGGTATTCATCACATCAGCCCAGAAATGTCCAGTTTGTTCTTTTTTTTCTTACAGTACTATGGAGATCTGAACCAGGGCTAGAGACCCTGTTGGTAAGATGGTATCCTCTACTTTTTCCCAGCCCATGGATGACCATCTACTGACAATAAAATGTTCAAATGAAAACTAATGTGAGTTATAGTGATTCTTTAGGTCTCCTACTTTTGCTGAAACGCCATCAGTTTAGAGTAAAATTGCTCAAATATTGACTTTGTGAAAAAATAAGCACTAGTCACAGAACTGATGAAAATTAGGATTACATTGAGTACTGAGAGCTTTCAAGGATTGTATCAGATATATGTTGCTTTCCCAGCAAAGCATGACAAGCCATTTGAGTTGGCTTTTAAATGCACCATTTGGGAGGTGGGGCTGGGGATTTAGCTCAGCGGCACAGCGCCTGCCTGGCAAGCACAAGTTCGTGAGTTCGATTCCCGGTACCAGAAAACAAACAAACAAAAAAAAAAAAAAAAAAAAAAAAAAACCCAAACAAACAAACAAACAAATGTACCATTTGGATAGTTAGAATCTTTAGTCAGAATCCACGTCAGGAGGATATCTCTGATCTGAAAAAAGGTGAGTAAATGCCATGATTAGAAGGCCTGTTGTGGAGCGGCATTATTTTTCATGCTTATTGTAGGTGCCTAAAATAATTTCCCATGTAAGTAGAAGGAGAGATGGATGTAATTTCCATGAAACCTCAGTGCTCATGTCTGTGGAACATTAAAGCTCAGAAGAAGCGAGAAGAGAAAATAGTTGGTGCTCTATAGGGAATAGTGCCTGGTCAGAAGGGACAGGAGAGCATAATTGAATTTGTTCCTGTAGCCTGCAGCAATCTCAGTCACCTGAGGTCTTCACTGCTAGTGTTTCCACTTTCTTTCTCCAGAAAGCAAATGGGAGAAGAACCAAGTTAAAGATATTCCCCTTAGTACTGATTCCTTTGGAGAAACATGTAAATTTTTCAGAAATAAAAGAGGCTGCCGAATTTTTCAGCTATAAAAGAGGCGAGGGTAGTAAAATGATTGTGTATGTCGTTCTGATCCTTCCTGCACGGTATGAAATAGTCATCTGAATAAAAATGTGACAGGTGAGCTTAGCAGAAAAACCCAAATGAACCCAAAATAATACAGATAAACACAGACTCAGAATCCATTATTTTTCTAGTATACATGAAAAAGATAGAAAATAAGAAGTAACATATCTTGGTTGCATTAAAGTGACAACAACAAACACAAAAAATCTCCCATAAACATATCTTTAAAAAAATAAAAATAAAATACATAACAAACCCATAGGAATCAGCATAGACTTTCTTACGTCTTTATGCCTCACTCAGCTGCAAGAAAATGTGGAGGACTTTCTCTGAGAATCCTGCAGCTGAACATAAATGATGGTCTACATCAAAAAAGGAAAGTCCCCCTTGTCTCCATACAAGTATTTCAGTCCCTTAGCAGACAAGAAGCATAGGAGAATCACCTCCTTGATGCAGGCAACCATCATCACTTCATGATGTTTTTTGAGCATCTTTTGCATGTACAGACTTTACTGTGATGTTGGAAAAGGTCAACTTTCTAGAGATGTTTTAGAAAATGTACTTTTCCCAGAATGGAATATCAGCCCAATTCCCCTCTTCCTAAGTTCTGCCTTTTTTTTTTTTCCCCAGCATTTCTCCAGCAGTGTGTGGCTGTCCCCCCACTACTACACTTCCCAGCGCAGTCCTCCCTATGTGATAGGGATGATCTCAGCAGCTGGTATCAGGGAATGGAGGTTTTGTAAATGTAAATAGCACTCTGGTCTTGTGGCTCAGACATAAGCCTTAGTTGTTATCAACTCAGGTCCCTGGTATCCCTGACCCCCGCAAACACACCTCATTGTGGTCAGTTAGATGCAGCTGATATTTCTCTAAGCTTAGGGCCTCATCTAAATTCTATCTCATTTTATTTTTTTTTTATTTTTTATTTTTTTTGGTTTTTCTCTGGTACCGGGAACTGAACCCACGACCTTGCGCATGCCAGGCAGGCGCTTTTGCCGCTGAGCTAAATCCCCAGCCCCTCTATCTCATTTTAGATGTGCCTGTTGAAACTGCCTACTCCCCTGACTCCTGACCAAAGAACTGGAGGAGCCTCTGTTTTCTCTGAATAAGCAGGATGCTTGCTCTTTTCCTTTCTTATGGAATTTTATCATTTATATCTTATAACCACTCAAATTTCAGTTTTTTAATGGTACTGCTTCTTTCATCTTTCATGTACACACTGTGCTACAAAGGAAAGAGCTAAAATTTCACATCTTTTCTCTGGTCTAATCTACATTTCACACATGTAGAAATTCAAAAAGTAATTGCTAAATAATGATTTTTGTGTCCCAGAATTCCTTTAGCCTTTGATCCTTAAGCCTTGTTTGTGGCTATAAGAAGGCTGCTTCATGCAGGATTTTAAGGAATAATTAGGAGTTTGAATCCATGCTATAGAGACGAAATCTTGCATTTCCAAACTTTTCGACTGGACACCATCTTAGAGGATTCAAAAATAAGTAAATGACTGACTACAGGAAAATGAAGTAATCATGATGCTTTGTTGGAATTTCTGCAACAAAACATAAGCCACTAAAAGATTCATTGTGGTATGTGTGTGGTCATCTACTCACTCATTCACAAGTTACTCATGAAAATGATTGTTTATTAGATGATGTTATGGCTTGTGTTTAGAAGTCCCTCCAAAACCTCATGTAGTCATAGGTGGGGCTTTTTCAGAGACAGCTGGATCTAGAGTGTGTAACCTGGGACTGATTTGTGGTGCAATGCTAGGATCAAGGCACTAAGATTAAGGGTGTAAATGCTACCCACTCCAAGTAGCCTGGATAAAATATAAGGGATAGAAAGAGCTGTGGCCATCCCTTGTTTGATTGCCTGCTTTGCTGCCTTCTACCCACCATGAACTGTTGTTTCTCCTCTGAGATGCCTGTCAGCCATGCCGCCCTGCCTTGCAGCTAGCTGATGATGGACTGAAACCTCCACAAACTGGGAGCTAAATAAACCTTGCCTCTCTTAACTTGTGAGTGTAGATATTTTGTCCGAGCAACAAGAAAAGTAACTAAGACGGATGGCACAATACAGTGGATTTGTTTAGCACAACAAGAAATATGGCTTATTAAGTGATTCAAGCTGTGCTCCATTTAACAGTTGTTTTTCCTAGAATGAAAATCATGACATTTAACATTTTAATGTGGTCTAGGGGTTCTGTGGAAGATTCAGGTTCTGGTTCTTTTGTTTGGGAATAAGGCCCAGTACTGCATGTCTCACTCCCAGTGCTACTCATCGCGCTTATCCAGGGATTATACAAGTCAAAGAGAAGGCTCTAGCAGACCTTGTTCTTGTTTTCCTGAACCTGCCGAAGACATCAGATCTAACAGAAAGAACTGTGTGGTCAAAAACTATGGTAAATGTTTACTTTTTAAAAATTATTATAGTAGAAGACACATAGTCATTAGTCCTCCTCAAAATACCTTTACTTCTCACACATTTATCATCATTCTTTCTCCTTTCAAGCAGTTCTGGAAGTCTATTTTCATGAGTGCTTCAGATACGCTGTTGTGACTTCCTTGATGCCCTGAATCAGTTCAAAGTATTTACCTTTCATGGTAACTGACATATCAGGAAGAACCAAAAGTTGCACAGTGCCAGATGCAGGGGGCAAGCTGGATGACACACTGTAATGTTTTTATGAGCCTGCCTTTCTTTTGACATTTTTTTTAATGAAAGAAGGAAAACATATTAACAAACAGACATCCATTTACAAAATAGCATAAGAATAATACAAACAATACAGAGTTACAGACAAAGTTGTAGGAAATTAACAATGGTTGTTGTATTACGTATTGATATCTTTAAAGTGGTTTCTCAGGAAAACAAATAGAGACATGCAAGATTGATCAAACAAGTAATCATTAACTGTTCCTTTCAGTAATGCAATAGAAGACAGTAGTACAAACATGTTAGCTATCCTGTATATGCATACATACATAATTTCCCCTTCTTTCTTTTCTCTGTTCCCTCACTCCAGTTGCTCTTTACTTTTGAGCATTTTCCTTTTGTTTCACAATGTCTATCATACCTTCTAGTTTTTATTCAATCTTTCAGGTTCTTACACTAGTGAGACAATATGTTTCTTACACATGCAAGTCTGATTTATTTCACTTATGAGTATGGTCTCTAATTGTGACCATTTACCTATAAAACCCTCGAGTTTATCTTTCTTTATAACTGAGTAATATGCCGTTATATAAAATACCCAAATTTTTTTTATCCAATTCTCAGTGGATGGACATTTGGTTTGCTTCCACAGTTTTGTCCTGCTATAAACATGGGTGCACCCAAAAATAAAAAGAAAATTAAAAAAAAGGGGGGGGGCTGGGGATTTAGCTCAGCAGCAAAAGCGCCTGCCTGGCAAGCTCAAGGTCATGAGTTCAGTTCCCGGTATATATCGCTGTGATATGATGTTTTCAGATCTTCTGGGAAAATACCCAGAAGGGGAATAGCTGGGTTGAATGGGACCTCTAGACCTAGTTGGCTGAGGAATCTCCAAACTGATTTCCACAGTGCTTTCACCAGTCTATATTCCTACCAGCAGTGGGGAAGGATTCCTATTTCTTCTCAGCCTTGCCAGCATTTGTTATTGGTTCCTATTCAACATAGTTCTGGAAGCATTAGCCAGAGCAATTTGACAAGAGAGAGAAATAAAAGGAATAAGGATAGGAAAGGAAGAAGTAAAATTATCACTATTTGCAGATGACATGATACTTTATATGGAAGACCCCAAAAACTCCATAAGAAGACTCCTTGAATTAATCAACAAATTCAGCAATGTAGCTGGATACAAAGTCAACACCCGAAAATCAATAGCATTCCTATACACAAACAACAAACAGACTGACAGGGAAATTAAGGAAACCATACATTTCACAATAACAGCCAAGAAATTGAAATATTTAGGAATCAATCTAACAAAAGAAGTAAAAGATCTATTCAATGAAAACTACGGTACTCTGAAAAAAGAGATCGAAGAAGATTTCGTTTGTTTTTTTTTTGTTGTTGTTGTTTTTTTTTTTTTTTTTTTTTTTTTTTTTTGGTTTTTCTCCGGTACCGGGAACCGAACTCACGTCCTTGCGCTTGCCAGGCAGGCGCTTTTGCC